ACATTAGTAATTAATTAAGTTAATTTGTTCATTTGATGTGAGTTATAACAATTACATTGCACACATACACAAACCACATACAGATACACCAGACAATTTACTACAAGGGAACATGAAGACGAGTAACCTGACGAGTAGTAAACCCGTTATACATTATTAATTTATAAGTAATTATAAATAATTATTCAGCAAGTGAGCATTATATTTATGTTAAAATAATGATTGACTGCAAATATTTTTAAAGACGTATCCAGTGAATGCCATAATTTGGGACCCTCATTCTTTACTGTCATTATAGCAAGTTTAGTTCGTGAAAAAAACCAGTGGAATTCAGTACATTGCCTTGTAAAATAGTGATGAATATTTCATTTTTTATGAACATTGAACAGATAGAATTGGGTAGTTTAGAATTATTAAGTTGATGCATGAAGGTACCAAGTTGAAAACAATAAATATCATTTACTTTTAACATTTTAAATTTATGAAAAAGAGGATCACTGTGCTCCTAGAAAGTTGTGGAGTTGATTATTCTCAAAACCTTTTTTCGAAGTCTAAGTATCCTATTCATCAGACCAGTACCGCAATGACCCCATGCAAGTATGCCATACGTTAAGTAAGGTAAAACTAATGTATTATATAAAGTCATTAAAAAGTCAAATGGAAAAAAGCTCTCAATTTGCAAATAATGCCAATGTTCTTAGATATAATAGAACAAATATGGTTAATATGTGTTTTCCAAGAGAGATTATTATCGATATGAAGTCCCAAAAACTTGACTGAGTCAGTCTGGCTGATTTTAATGTTGTCAATAAATATGTCAGGGGTTATTCGGTATTTCTTTTTGCCAGATATCATAAAATTTGTTTTCCTTATATTGACAGTTAATTTATTTGCTTCAATCCATGTAGAGACCTTACCAAGTTCACAATTAGCTACATCGCTGGAATTAAGTTGTAGATTTAAATTCAATAGATTTTCATGTGAGTAATCTCTAACAAAAGTGTTTCCAGGATTTGAGTGTGAAAGAGGTGAATATCGGGAAATGATCAGATAAGTCTGCTAGCAGACCTTAGATGAAGAATGCCTACCAAAAGAAGGGAGCTAAAAAGTCACCAGGCAACTACAGACCTGTGAGTCTAACGTTAGTGCTATGCAAGGTTCTGGAATCCATCATAAGGAAGAAGATGTCGGAGCATCTGGAGACCCATGATCTACTATCAAAGGAACAGCATGGTTTCATGAAAGAGAGATCGTGTCTCACCAACCTGCTGGAGACTCTTGAAGATGTAACAAGGATGCTAGTACCTGGACTATGCAAAAGCATTTGATTCAGTTCCACACATAAGAGTAATAGGAAAACTACACGCTTATGGGATAGTGACTTCCTCATTGGTAGAAAGCAGCAAGTTAAGTAGGAGACGCAGAGTCAGACTGGACAGATGTCATCAGTGGAGTGCCCCAGGGCTCAGTCTCGGTCCCATATTGTTCGTCATCTATATCAATGACCTGCCGGAGAATGTGGAGTCAAAAGTCAAGATGTTTGCGGATGATACCAAAGTGTATAAACAGATGAGGGGAGATGACGACCAACTGAAAATGTAGCAAGACCTTGACTCGCTCCAAAAGTGGTCCGAGACATGGCTACTCCGCTTCAATGCCACTAAGTGTAAAAGGATGCACATGGGAAACACCCATCAGGAAACTGAATACAATCTTGGTGGAGAAGGTAATCCCACATTAGAGGAAAAAGATCTGGGAGTAATAATCACTGAAGATGGCAAGACTAGTAGACAATGTGCAGCAGCAGCAAATAAGGCCATGACTAAACTCAGAATCATAAAGCGCACCTTCAAGCACTACGACAAGAAATGCTTCACAATGCTCTACAATACTTACATCCGTCACCATCTGGAATATTTCGTTCAAGCCTGGTGTCCATACCTTAAGAAAGATATCGCCATGCTAGAAAAAGTACAACGAAGAGCCACAAACCTCATCCCAGGCGTCAAACATCTGAGCTACCCAGAAAGATTGCAAGAAATAAAGGCATACAGTCTAGAGCTTAGGAGAACAAGAGGGGAACTGATAGAGACCTTCAAGATCATGAAAGGATTGGAAGGTATAGAGAAGTCCAAACTCTTATCAACCAATCCACACACTGACAGAGGTAGAGGACACAGTAACAAGCTGTATAAGCCAGCTCTCAAAAAGGGGCTGAACTGTAGAAAATATTTTTTCTCAGTCAGAGTGATCACAGAGTGGAATAGTCTCCCTGCAAGCGTCATAGAAGCTAAGAACACAAACCAGTTCAAGACGCAGCTGGATAAGTATTGGAAGGAAAAAGGATTTGGGGTCTTAAAGGCTTAAGCCTGATAATTGCCCATCAAACTAAGTGTAAGTGTAAGTGTAACGTGATTCTACCGCAATAGGTCAATAGGCAATAGACCTTTCTATTGTTTGTAAACATTGGCGCCATTTTATATGGGCTGCCACAAGCGCATAAATTGAAGCCATGTTTGGCAACATTTTTTTCCAAAAAAAGGTCCTCATAACGTCCTCAATACGTACTAAAAAGGCATGTGCAGGAATTATGTTGAAGCTTTGTTGCCAATGTCAAGTATTTCCAACAATCAAATAATATTTTGGTTATCTGTAATAACTCTTCTTCATTTTTCCAGTGTTGGGCCTTCCATAGTTTTGCAACCTGTGGTTGGCAAAAATGTGCAGTTTGCCAACCACGCGTAGAAAGGTCTATAGTGTCGTAGCGCAGCAATACGTACATGTACGTTGCCACACTAGTCAGGGGCTAGTGTCGTAGCATGCTCCTTTACGGAGGGAGTCCAAGACTCTGTTCAGTATTAAACTGTTTTAATTAAGGCCTCTTTATGGACAGAATGTTGCAACCTGATGCTACTTCAGCGGTTGTGTACAAAGTCTATGGAGAGTCAAGAAAATTGGAAATGTTTCTCAGTCCCAGATTCATGTCTTATCATCATTTTTGCAATGACTGACAGAAAGAATTCCATACACGGCTTCCACTCATAATCCTTAATATGACCTCAAAAAGTACCAAAAGTTGTTAATATGATGAAGAAACACTATTTTAGGAGTGCAAAAATTCTGTGATAATACTTCGTGCTGTCATGGCCCATAGACATTGTGCAGGAGGTCTGAGTGGAGGCCATGTATGGAATTCTTTCCAAATGGTTAAATGTTGCCACAGAATGTGGCTATCTCGTTCTTTTCGGATGGTCAATGCGCTATGGCAATTTGAAATTCAGTTTGATTGACGAAATACCTGTGTCAGGAATTCCACTTTCTGAAACACAAATCAACCCAAAAAGTTGCCCTGGTTGATCCATAACTCTCTAAAAATCCAGAACCATTAGTGTTTGGATCATGGGACAATTTTTTTGGAAAAATCTGAGTTTTTACTCACCAGCCTCTCATTTCCAATCCGACGAATACACTTCATGTGTGTGTGCATGCATGTGTAAACACCGGCAATCGTGGACGTAGGACAAAAGAATTGGGGCGCAAACAATACGTCCACGATTGACCGAATGTCCACGATCTCAAATCGTGTACAAAACCAATGAGAGCCGTCGCTAAAAAGTTAGAGTACAAAAAAAGGAAAGAGGATTAGGGACAATGGGGCGTCCATGATTGCCGGCATTTACACAAGTGGGTGAGCTTGTCTTACATACGCAGTGTGGACTTCCGAACAAAAGACGTCCACATAATGTAGGTAGCAGCGACGAAGTGTGGACTTGCCCACGTCCACACAGTGTTTCCCCATTTCTGGAAAACAGGTTTAGAGGCATTTTTGGGTTAGGTTTATCTGTAGCAGAATGAAGAGAAACACTAAAGGGAATCATTGAAAAAAAATTGGGTTGTAAGAGTTTTCACAGTTTGAGAAAAATGAGTTTTTCCACTGGTGTTCCTTAACTACACGAAAAGAAAGGAAAGTCCACACTAGGTATGTGAAACAAGTCTGGGTGTGTGTGTGTGTGTGTTTCGCGTGCGCTAATCGTGAGGTTACCTCAGCAGGTCAACTCTACATTTGGCTCGACCATTTACTCGAGTACTTCTTGAGATTACTCGTACTCGCCCTCGAATATCAAAGTACTCGGACTCGAATTCATGGTACTTGTAATCGAGACGCAAAGTACTCGACTTTTCATTGTCATACTCCATCGTGTGGCAGTCGGAAGTTGCAATGCCAGTCAGGAAAGGCATGGGAAGAGCATGTGCTTCTCTGGTTGAAATAAGGTGTTTCACGGTAATATGCGCCATCTTGTTCACGGGGCAAAAAGAACATGCGTGCTAGACGCGGGCGCATTTTGGAATGAACGCATGATGACTTGGAAGCACTAAAGTTTTCCATTGACGATGCATACACAGCAACGCATGTAAAATTGCCCCGTCGGCAAGATGGCGCATATGAAACACCTTATTGTGTGCATCAGAGGGGGAATTAAATGATCCGCACATCAGGATTTGCATGCAATGATCTTACGAACGTACTAAGATTTCTTTTATATACTTAATAGCTGACTTAGTAGCTAATACTTGAAAGTTTTTAAAGAAAAGATGGAAACTTACACGATTAAAATGACATCACAGGCATTTCTCTTCATCTTCTCGAGACTGGTCACATTTGTGAAGAATTGAATTGGAAAAATGCTATTGTTGAATATTCGATCATACATTTGGCAGAGGCCTAGTACTGGTTCACATGTGTATTGCATGAAGTACGCATGACTCATTTTATTATGAAATTGATACAAACCCATAGTGTCTTCGTGTAACTTAAGAGAAGTGAGGCACATTCATTATACATGCTCAACAAGATGTGTGGAATTGTGGATAGCCGGGGTTGTTTCTTATTGTTTATAACAGTAGGGGATTAGCTCTGTAAAAGGATAGAAGAGATAAGGCTGCATCAGAAGGTGTGAATTAAAAGTTGGTTTTGTCATGTTTGAATTGATGTTTTACAGATTGTTACAAAGCCTTGAAGACGCCAATACTCGGAACCTGATATCAAAAGATAACTTCCTGTTGTGCATCAAGTCTTCAATTTTTGCCGAAATGGATGGTGGAAAAGGTTTTAAACGATTGACACATGGTGAGTAGCAGTACCCTCTATGATCGGGGCCTGCTAGTACTCAGGCCACTGAGTATCAATTGTGAAAGAGACTGAATTGTTCTTTTGAGATGGACTTTATCTGTGGAAGAAAACCCTATATTTTGTGTAGTAGAGATACATGTATTTCATAATTTGTTTTGCATGCAGGGCCCCAATGGAAACCAGTATTTAACTGTTTGGGGATACTATGGGTAACAAAATGGAACAAATAAATAAATAAATAAATAAGTAAATAAATAAATACAGGTAGTGGTAACAAACCAGCACGGCCCGAGTATTCATGCTTTTGATAAAAAAGAAGAATCCGAGTATTGTATACTGAAAATAACCAAGGACTTTCAAAATGACTCGGACTCGTGTCCAAGGTCTTTTTGAATTGATTGTACTTTGTTTACACAAGTTGTCTGTGCAAACTCTCAGATATCTACTCATTCAAAGTGGGGTACTTACAGTGTATGTGTTAGTTTGATTGCTACTCTACAACCTTTTAATGAGGTTTACTTGGGAATCGAAAAACGAACGAACGGGTCCAGTACTGAAAGTTACTGATCGCACACTAATTGTAAAAGCAAACAACAATTTTAGAAGTACATTTTGTAACAACTATTTAATAAGGTACAGTGTTTTTAGTGATAAGAAATCAGATGTTTAAATATTTTATGGGTTCATGCAGGTACACTCCACAGTCTACAGAAACTTGAGGACATGACACATAATGCAGCTGATGAGAAGGAAAGTATGGCAAAGCAACAACATCAACTATCAACCTTACAGAAATCGCTGCAGCAACTAGTACAACAGCAGGACAGACTCACATATAAACTACAACATGGTCCCTCTAAGGTACAAATACATGTTCATCTTCAACCTTTTGTATCAAACATTTGAATGAAACTATTCTAACTTTGCTTGCACAAATTGTTTGCTGTGAGACAAACACATGACGGCCAAAATGTCACAACTTATGAATTTGTTTTAGGTGGCACTAGTTATTGTGTACATATACTGGCCAGTTTGACTAAGCATGATTTTAAGAAATTCACACATGTTTTCAGACTATAAATGAAATGTTCTTTTACCTGTGAGCGAATTTAGAGAGTTACTACCAGATTTCAAAGAAACAAAACTAAACTAGATTTGTGTCAAGTATGTTTGTGGACAAACATAGGGCTGTTTCGGTAGCTTTTTGTGACATGTGGCAAGTAAAGTTTCAATTAAACGTTCCATCAAGGAAGGAGTTCTGTTTATAATAAATGGTGGCATATAATATGTGATTACATTCTCAAAGGGCTTTGAATTATGACCTCACATGTCACATGATGACGTCATGATGACGTCACATCAATTTACATCTATAACACATTCCGGTCTAGGTACGTTCTTAGTTTAAACTCAATCACACTTGTAGTTCTGTAGATATTGCCCTTCAAAATGTGCAATTTTAATATGACGTCACATGTCACGTGATGACGTCATCGTGACGTCACTTCAATGTTTATCTATAACACATCCCAGTTTAGGTACATACCAAGTTTCAACCCAATCAGACCTGTACGTAGTTCTGTAGATATTGGCCTTTTAAATATGCACATTTAATATGACGTCACCTGTCACGTGATCAAGTCATTGTGACGTCACTTAAATGTTCATCTATAACACATCCTGGTTTAGGTACATACCAAGTTTCAACCCAATCGGACCTGTAGTTATGGAGATATAGGCCTTCAAAATATGCACTTATATTGTGACGTCACAGGTCACTTGATGACGTCACGATGACATCAATGTTTGGCGCACATGTTTAGATGCTGGTCTAAGTGTGTGCCGAGTATAAAGTAAATCGGATTAGTGCCGAAAGTGCCTTCCACGATGAAGACATGTACAAATGCTATGGGGAATGGCTGAAAAAGAAGAAAAATAGAAAAAAACAAAAACTTTAACGAAAACAAAGGCTGGTTGCCGAAACAGCCAACTATGGCAGGCTGAACTGCATGTAAATATAATTCAAGGACTGTTTTGTGACCGTAATCAATGAACCCTTATCATCCAAGTCTTTAAAATTTCAAAAAAGTATCCTTGAAATCAAAGCTACACACGAAGCTACACACTGTTTCATGAATGGGCTGTAAACGGCCTTAACCAGGTACATGTATTCTGTTGAACCCTGTTTTTGAGTTTCAAGCGTTGTGGCGGTTATAAGGCAGAATTACAGTGTTAAACATATACAGTTGATGGTTTGCACATGATTGTAGGTACTAAGTAACCTCTTGAGAGATGAAGATGCAGATATTGAAGTCACTTCTGAGGCCCAACATGCTGCCATTACCAGCTCAATAGCATTCGCCAAAAGACTCAAGACTTTGGAATTCCTTCAAGCTTACAGATTATCAGGTAAGTAGGGGGAGACTACCGCTTCAAGAACAAAGGCTATCAGTCTGGGCCAGTACCTCAAAAATTCCAAAAATGTGTTCAACAAAAGAAGGGAAATCCCCTGCGCGGGACTCGATGCAGGGGCGGATCCAGGGGGAGGTGGGCATGGGGGCGCACGCCCCCTCCTTTTTTCTTCAGAAAAAAAAAACGTTACACACGATATTCTTAATTTCACCTGGACATGCTAAATCTTGACGGGAAAAGCCTGTATTTCTGACGCATGTGCCATCAAAATGCACATTCATGACATCGAAGCCATGCCGCTGTACGATGTTCCGTGCGGCATGCGGCAATGCAGTGCAGTGCCATCCCCATTCACTGGTTCCCTACGCGTTCCCAACAGAATCAAAGCTATGATGTAGGACCGGAACCAGTGAATACGGGTTACATGTGTTGCGTTGAATTTGGATCATAGAAAATACCAAACGAACATCGATGGAGAAAGAGAATTTCTTCAAATTAATTTCCAGAATTTTCTGAGTATGTACATTTGTATTTTCCATTAAACTAAATATTTATAACGAGATTGTTCCGCTCGTACGTGATACACCAAAGCGTGTTTCTGCAAACTTTTCGGCCACAGCACATGGGTTCATTTCTGGGTCCGCTACGCAATACACAGTGCTGATATATGCACTCCGAAAGTGCGCTGTGTGCGGCCAGTGCTGGCCGGCGGCTGACGTTAACTAACATTGTCATTGTTTAAGCATAGTGGCATGGACGACTTAAATTTTCCATTTTTTAAAAGAATAACCCACCTTAAATATATTTTCATATATTATAATATTAGGTAAGGCAAATTTTTATCAAAAAGTTTTGATGGACTGTCTCGATAACTTTCGTGGTGCAATAGGAATGTGATAGGATTCAGATTTTTTTTGTTCTTCCGACTTATTTCTCAACTTGAAACTTACTTTTTCAGTTTAGGAAGTTGTAATGTTTGTGAAATGATTATTCAATATTTGGTTTAAACAATATTATAAAACTCCTCTGAATTTTGAGGAAAAATCTGCTGCAGAGACTCCCCAGATTTGCTCTAAAATGCACCAGAGAGCTTCTAAAGTTCAACATTTTTTGGGGCCCTTAGACGGGCCTCAAACCCCACGCCGAGTTAATGTGTCACAACAAAACTTCCTGTACATACGGGTTTGAACAAATTTCACGCCCCCCCCCCCCCTTTGGGAAAATCCTGGATCCACCCCTGCGACGTGTCCGGCCTTGCCGCGCTACGGTCTCGCTGCCGCTAGTGACCTTGAAAATTTGCTCAACAAAAGAAGGGAAATCCCCTTTTACGCTCGACGCGGCTCGCTATTGTTAGTCTTTAATCAAGTGTAAATAATAGAATAAAACTAGAGGTTGTGGGAACAACCACACAGTGTTGGGCTATCATGTTTGTGTTGATGGCAAGAAATTTAACAAAAGTTTGCTAAAAACACTGACAGTCTAGAATGACAGAGAATTGTCAAAGTCAAGTTGATGCCCATAAAAAGCAAAATCAGATCTCTCACAGTTGACTTTATATTGATCTTCAAAGATTAATCAGGTGGTCTCAACATATATGCACACCTATGCTGCTGTAGTGTTTACTTATCAAGTACAGTCTTTACAAAAACCCATTAAATAGCTCATATTTCTAAAAGTAAAGGTTGCACACCATTAGCGTAATACAAAATATTGCTCGCCATACACTCTTTGCCCCCATGTGCATGTTTTTACAAAAAAGTGCCCAACTTTTGAGTCTCATATGACATCATCAAAAGTCAAAAATGTGCTTGCATTAAGAAGTTGTCATATAAACTCGTACAAAACACTGGTAAACACTTAAGAATACATTGGTACATCAAACAGCCATTACATGTGGCTCAATAGTTAACATAAAACAGTCGTAAAACCAGACACGCAAGAGGTGAGCACGCTGTTTAGTGGGGAAACCCCTTTTGCACGCAATGATCCCCATTTACTGTACACACGCAATACAATACAATACGGTACAATGTACTTGGCATTCAATGAACATTTTAATGCGTAGGTGTGGTCAACTTCAAATTTCAAGGGGGCTGCAGGGCATCTCCAAGTTTACTTATGTAACAAAACATATGGGGAAGTTTTAGACCTACTATTCAATTGCCATTTAAAGCACAAATCAAGATTAAATCTCTCAGGGTTGATTTTCCAGATATTTTCAAAGGTAAAGAAGTCTTTTTATTCCAACTTCCGGTGTGATGATGTAATCAATTTGTTTTCGCACACAGGTCTTGTCTGCATTAAGGTCATCACATATATTAATTTTGAAGCGATTACCGCAAATTATGCCACACACATCAACTGAAAGTAAGTTATTGACATTTTGAACCTACCGCTAGAGGGTGCTCGAACATTTCATGACGTCACCGATAATTGTTTTGTAAAGTTCAACATAGGCAGAGACTTGCATCGTTAAAGCAAGTTAGGCATTTCCGGTTTCGACTGGAAGGAAGGGTCACGTGATTTGACACGCACGAGACAAAATGTAACTGAATGTAACTCAAAAGTAGAAGCATATTACTGCATATTAATACATATATTATGAAAGTGTTTAGTGAGGAATGTCAGACACAAAAAAAAAGGGTGATGACATCATCATCCAAAAGGGCACCCCCTAGGGCACCCTTTTTCTTTATTTTTAAAACCATAGGTTCAAATTTTGCCAAATCGACCCTTGATATCCTTTGATTAACCACAGATAACTTAGCAAGGTTTCAAATTCATGACGTCATCAGACCGGAAGTTACTTCCATGAGAATTTGCCAATGATTATATTTAAATTTTATTCTTTCGTTTGATCCATGTCGTATATCTTAGCCCAAATAATGATACCATTACAATGTTCACTTTTTGCTTCCAAATACTGTGACGTCATCAAACCGGAAGTTCGATGTTATGAATACGTACACTTATATTTTCCAAATTTTCATACGTTATTTAACTTCACAATGAACATCCACTCTGAACTAAATCAGTATTCTCTTCCCACTTTTGACTAATGACATTATCAAGCCAGAAATTAACTTGTATGTGTATATAGAACGTTTACTGCAATTTGAGTGGAGTGCTGTGGCCTCGTGGTTATTGGGCACTGATTCGTGGTCTGTGGGTAAAGCTGCAGGTCATGGGTTCGAGTCCTGGCGGGGTCATGGTGCGTGTGCCCTTGAGCAAGGCACTTTGTCACTCATTGCTCCTCTCCACCCAGGAGTAAATGGGTACCTATGAGGGCAGTGATGGTTATTGTGATTGAATTAGCTTCCTTGCGCCTAACAGGCAGCATCGAGCTGTATACTCCCCAGGGAGCTGAGATGGTATATGGAATGTTTAATTGGCCCAATGATTAGGGGTAATAATAATGTAAAGTGCTTTGTTCTTAGTTAAAAGCGCTATATAAGAACCTGTTATTATTATTATTATTATTATAATTTATCACACTGTTAAAGATGCATTTTTTAAACAAAATAATTGATTGCCCTGGAAAGGATTTAATTTCATGATCCTTTGTTCTTATATAAACATATTCATAACTTAACTGGACAGTGTTTAATAAAAAAGTTGTCTACCCGACCACTCTGCGTTTGTAACAACAAACGCGAATCTCTAGTTATTTTAGTTACTATATAAAATGATGGATTTTTTTACGAAGCAGTACATTGAGATATTTGGTAAACTACCAGATAAAATTCAGACGCCACCAGCAACGGATGAATTTAATAAATGCGAGCACCTTATAATACTCGACGACGTTGAGGGTGTGTACTACTGCGAAAAGTGTAGATAACACATCGCTCCAGCAGCCGATTTCATGAGACTTTATGCAGTGGCGCAACTCTGCCCGTGCCACAATTTATTGCGTAAGCTGCGCAACATTTCACGCAGCGCAACATTTGACTGATGACACATTTCACGAAAGTCTGATAGTGCGCAAGTCTGCGACTTGCACAGTAAATTATGGCCTAACTTGCACAATCATTTTAGGTGGCATAAGTTAAAGCTAGAGTCCATCATTTGCAGCCATCCGAAAAGTAACTGGCGTAATTATTGTTGAAAAACAAACTTGGTTGAAAGATAGTAAGGGAACTAAACTCCCTGTGAAATTATTCTTTCTGGGAAACTGTCATTTTGAAGTAATCAACGTAAGAAGGCCTTTCCAACGGTGATTCTTAAGAAGCACCGTAGGAAAATTTAAATTAGTAGTTCGTTTTGTTATTCAGCGCAGCGCGCACAAGTATTGGAACGACGCACACGCGCGCGCGGTTGTTATAATTCGTCGGATCAGTGCGCGACGTCGCGTATAGCTGCAATTCAAAACAATTCAAAACATGATTCAGTAACTTTTGATTTGAAATTGAGATCTTAGAATGCTGTTTTTCTCGGAATGTACAGCTGAAGCTTAGCTGAAACTTCATCAGGTTAGTTGCTCAGTATCCTTCATTAGATTTTGAACTCTTTTGTTGCTTCAAACAAACAAAATGCTCAAATTACAAATCATGGACTGTAGCTTTAAATGAATTTCTATTTCACTAGTGACAGAGTTTTAGAGTTGCCGCACGATTCCGAAGACAGTCAGACCAAATAATATTAAAAATGGCGGGCTGAGGAGATCCAACGACTGTTTGGTGAACGAACAAATTCACACACAAACAGCCATCGTAAATGCTGTTATTATCCTCGTCCAAGATGTTCAAATTATTTAAAACATTGCGCAGCTACGCCAAGTTTTGTTAAATCGATCGTAAGTTTATTGCGTACGTAGTTGCACAACAAATTTGTTGTGTGAGTGTTACGCATGGCGAAAGCTATGCACTGTTATGTGAAATCGGCTGCAGATGTGGATTTTATGGTGGAAAATGTAGGAGGCAAAATAATCTTTGTTTTGTTTAAAAAAATCAAACATTTAGTACTTAAACTAGAGATCTATGTCTCTTTGCAACAGA